GAGAGAGAGAGAGAGAGAGAGAGAGAGAGAGAGAGAGAGAGGCAGGAGCGCTGTTCCATTCAGCCTTGTAAGTCCCATTTAATTCCGTTTGCTTTCACCCAGCTAAATTCGGTTCATTCAGCTCCGTGGGTTTCACTCAGTTCCACTGAGCTCTGTTGCATTCCATCGATGCCAGTAAGTTACATGCGTTCCGCTGACCGTCCATATCAAGTCAGCATCCTCTGTGGTGTTTTGTCGAGTTTCAGGTGGATCCAAAGGACTTGTATTCTATGTATCCTTGGTTGATGCTGATTGTCTGTGTTTCATTGAGTGTAGCGGGTGGTTAACAGAACCACAAATTTTCAGTGTCTTCTCATGGCTTCATGACAAAACACCAAAACCTTGAAAACCAACCTGGCCACCAATCCACAGAGTGGACACCAAACAAACCAAAGAATTCAAAAGTAGTTCCAGAGGAAAGCTTAAAAGTTAAAACTTGAAACGTAAAAAGTTAAAACTTAAAACCCGATTTCGAAATCCACGTCTGGCATGTTACCCCACTGGTTGTGGAAATAATGCTCCAAAATGGCTGGTCATAATTTTGGTGACTCTTTGGTGAGTCGAAAGAGTCGTAAGTAGTACTAAAGACTCCAAACTGGCCTGATGTGTGATGGTGCAGGGTATGTACCAACAGTACCTGGCAGCGAAGGAACTGCGTCGTCACTCCTGGAGATATCATAAGAAATACAACACCTGGTTTCAGCGTCACGACGAACCGAAAAGATCGACTGACGAATACGAACAGGGCACTTACGTGTACTTTGACTTCCAGACAGGCTGGTGAGTTCTCGGCATCGCTACCTCAGGCAGGAATTGCAGGGCAAGTTCTGAAATGCTCTATCTATTGTGCGGCCAGTATGTGGCCGATTGGCACACGATGCTACACATGTAAAAGTTAGTAAGCCGGTCACAACTTACGAATTCTGGTGGAACCCGATGGATGCAATAATGCTGGGGACCACCCACTTAAAACATAAAAAAAAAAGAGGCTCCAGTGGGGCACCCTAGAAAGGTCTCTATTGCCTTTTGCTTCTTTCGCCCTTGGTGTGAGCTTTTCCACCTTCGACTTCTGGAGCTAGGCAATCTTTCCTATTTAGGGTTTTCTCTATGTTATGCAGGCTGAAAAATCAGACGACTTTTGTCCTTGGGGCATCGCGAAAACCGTTATTAAATTGAAAAAAAAAAGTGAACTTGAAAAAAGAACTTCTCCGGTGTGCGAACCCTCTGTTTTTCTCGGTGTGTGTGTGTATGTGTGTGTGCGCGTGCACACGAGATTGAGAGATTGAGAGATTGAGAGAGAGAGAGAGAGAGAGAGAGAGAGAGAGAGAGAGAGAGAGAGAGAGAGAGAGAGAGAGAGAGAGAGAGAGAGAGAGA